CTCTCTCTTGAAGTCTCTTCTATTATCTTTTTCAGAAGGCCTCTTGACGAACTTCTTCTGGAATTGCTTTGTAATTAAAGCAAGTGATTTGGCAAAGGCCTTGAGATTGTCATCAGAGTTTGAGTCTTCTTCTTCTGATTCTGATACGATGATCAAGGCCTTATTCCCCTTCTTTTGATGCTCTCTGAAAGAGCCTCTAGAAGTCTCCTTTTCATCAGAGACTAGAGCCAAGGGTCCTCCTATCGACACCTTTCTTTTCATTATATCTTGATCTTGAGCAGCAAGAGTTCCATAGAAATCATGGAGTGACCATCTTTCTATGTCTTGGTTTTCTTGTAAGCACATGGACAATTGTGTCCATTCATCACCAAGACTTTTGAGGAATAACATGTTGTTTTTCTCCTTTGTTCTTGCAATGTCATTTCAACGACATTGATTGATCAATGTGTTGAAGCGGTCATATGTCTTCTGAATTGGTTCGTCATGTAATGCTTTGAAATTTGTATATTCGTTCAGGCATTCGACCCTTCTGTTCTTTCTTGTTTTAGCTCCTTCTTCAAGTTGGCTTGCCAACTCATCCCATATTTCCTTGGTGGTAGTACAGGTGTCTAGAGATTGAAAAATCTCATTAGGGATTGCCATTATTAGCAATCTCTTTTCCTTTCTATCATCTTTTACCCTTTCAATATCATTTTCATCCCAAGCGCTTTCTTCTTTCACCACATAGTAAGCAGCAACTTCTTCTGTGGTACCATTTTCGGGCACTCTGGGAATCAAAGCTTGGGGAATGTAAGGATCTTCCAGGACAGATCTGAAAAGATTCATGTCCATCCCCTCGAAGAAGTTAATCATTCTTTTCTTCCATTGGGGATACTCTTATCGTTAAAGAGTTAGAGGTTTGGTGAGAGAACCAACACTGCATGCAGTATTCCAGTGGCCATTGAGAGAAGTTTTCGAAGAATTTGAGAAGAAAAAAGTTGAGAGATTTGAATACTCAGATTCAAATTGATCGTTTTGATTGAAAATCAATCAATTTGCTTTGATACCAATTGTTGATCCCGAATCTCTCAATATAACACGAAGATTCCTAAATCTATCGTATGAATGAAGAAAGTGAAGAAAAACTTTAATGATATTCAAGAAAGTATGAAGCTTTCAAGTAATTTCACTATAATAACGATAATGAGAAGGTTACTTAAATTACAAGACATATAAGTGCTATTTATAGTAGCAATCTAGTCTAAGAGATAACAATCTAGTATAAGATATCTATGAGATAAACATGGAAAGATATCTATGAGATAAACATGGAAAGATATCTTTCTAGAAGGATGAGGGTTATCTCTAACTACCTAGAGTAACATAATTCATGATGGCGATGAGTCTTCTCTAGCTGTCTTTAGGTAGCGTGTTCAATTAGAGTTCTTCATGTATCTGCTTCCAAGAGTATATCTGATCGAACTATGTTGACACTTGATGATTCTTTAGTTGATGTAAAACCAGAGTGGTTATGAAAAAGCTAAGTTCGTCGACCTGATGAACTCTTCATAAGTGAATGACTGTCAGGTTAAGTACTTCAGGTCTTCATAGCCTCTTTGGATCTTCCATCGCATGTTTGGTTTGTCTTCAACACTTAGAATCTTTTCAGCTTCTTCTTCCATCGGGTCTCCAGACTTTCATACTTAGTACATTTTTCAATATTTTTACAAATAAGAATTATGGGGTCTAGTATCTTTTTCCTTACTGTAACAACTAAGCAATTCTCTTTATGTCGCTTTGTCATCATCAAATAGGGGGATATTGTTGATCCCCTTCTCTCTCTTTCTTAGTGATTTGATGATAATCCTTTTTATCTAACGAAAAATACTTGGTCCTCTTGGTTCAGTTTCAGTAATCATCACCAAGTCTGTTTAGTGATCGCTAAAAACTGTATTGTATTTCTTAAGAGACAAGTATTTCTTCAAGAAGACAAAACTCACACCACAAGAACCTTCAATAATATCGAAGATAAAGCTGAAAAGATAAGCAGTGTGTGATCTGATGTGGTTTTAGTGATAACAAGCCTGTCTACAAGCATGTGTGAAGTCTACTCAAAATTCAACATACACTGGAGAAACTTTAAAGTTATTCCAGTGTCAGCGATCAAATGAATCTTGTTGATCAAGATTAGTTTTGTCTTATCCTTCTGCACACAAAGGAAAAACTCATACATCTCAAAGGAAAGCACTTGTACTGAGTCACCATATTGTCTCTGAACGTGCTTACCTACTTTGTGAAAGATCACTGTTCATATACTGCCAAAAGCATGTAAATTTGATGACAAAGGACAATCTCACCTCTAGAAGTTTGCCAGGTACCTTGTACTGTCTGCCTTGCATTTAATTCAATGGGTATAAATAGCCATGTAGACTTTTCTCTTTCAAATACCCAAGAAGAGAGACACATACAAGCACAAACTTCTTAACCTTGCGAAGTTATGTTTGCTTCAAGTGAAGAACACTAACTAAGCGCTCTCTCTCTCTCTCGCGCGCAAAGTTATTGCTTCTTTTAGCAAGTTTTTTCTTCCTTATTGTCTGTATCTTGTGTGTTCCTTAGATTGTTTTATATAAGTTCTGTATTTTTGTCTTATTCCGCAAATAATCTGTAAATTTTGTATTGATCTTCTTTATCAATAAAAAAATTTAAAAAGTGAAATATTCGTGTGTTTGTATTCATCCCCCTACAAACTGTTACAATTGAACTCTTGTAGATCCGTCTGGGAACAACAGAAACTACTATGTCTCATTTCACATCAAAAATCAAAGTGTGTCTCTTTTCTAAACTGAGATGTTATGAACGATTTAGCATTTTGGGCATATGTATTTTTTTTTTTTTTTGTTGTCTCTAATGATTTTGGTATATAAAAGTGTTAGTTTTTTTTTTGCTTTTGATGATTTAGGTAAGTGGAAGTATGGATTTTGTTTTACGTGATCAATGAACTTAAAGAAAAACAACATGGGTATTATTTTGTTGTTGGAGGAATCACTCCAACTCCTCTTGGAGAAGGCAAGTCTACTACTACTGTTGGTCTTTGTCAACCTTTAAGAGCTTTTGCTGATAAAATGTAAGGTGGCGTTTGTTTTTTAAGAGGTGCTGAAGTCTGAAGTCTGAAGTCTGAATTCACTTCTGAATTTTAAGAGGTGGTGCTGAAGTCTGAAGTCTGAAATCTGAATCAGTCAGACTGTTTGTTTTTACGTCTGAAATCTGAAATCTGAATCAGTCAGACTGTTTGTTTTTGTAAACTGACAAACTTCTGAAGTCTGAAATCTGAATCAATTCATTTCAATTAAACTTAACTGAAATATCCAATCATTTAAACCATTTGTAAACTGCCATATAATTAAACCATTGTTTTTGTCGCACCAATGATGTAGGAACTATGATCTCTTCTACTATACTTGACAAATATAAAYGTGATATGTAATTGTRTAATCATAAACCATTACCCAATCAGTTATACAGTTGATCAATCACAGGTAATAACAATCTTTAGCTCATATGCATCATAAACTGTTGGGGGAGGGCCGTGGCTTTGAGATTGCACAGGTAAACCAAAACCCTTTAAGCATGCTCAAATATTCYAACTAGCATCYTCTTCCTAGTTAAAGATCTACCACCATGTATCACACTACTTTAATCTGTATTTACTATCTCTCATACCCATCCATTTGAACCTGTTTTTCAATATGAAGCAAGATCCAACTATATATATATATATATATATATATATATATATGAATATCCCAAATCCATTAAAGAAGAACACAGGCGGCGATGGAGAAATCGACTGGAGATGA